CGCAATGAGACATGGGTCCCGAGGACGCCAAGTAGGCAAGCACTATAGGGCGGGGCCTAGCCTCTAGAACCGAACCACCTCCACAAACCTGAGATCCACTTGAACAGGTTACAACTGGCCCTGGCTGGGCAGGAGCGTTTGCTAGTTTACACCTAACTGACAACCATTTCCACGGAAACCACCTGCCATATCATGCTGACCATGCAAGGATTAACAACGCGTCATAATCCTCCATGACACTAGTCCCTGCATGCCACGGCTCTAGTCCATATCACCATGCCCCACCAAAACCCCACCATTGCACGTGGGCCCCTCTGCTCTGCTCTCCTATAAGAAGGCCATTTTCTGATGTAGCTGGCAGGCTGACCCAGCTTGGGTGAAGGCCAACTCGTTTACCCCTACCCACGTCCTCATTCTCTGCCTCGAGAGTGGCTGTCCCTCCACCATCTCCAACTCCCTTCGACAGCTGAAAGCCAAACATCACTGTATTCCTGCAAGTAGGACCAGCTTGCCCTCCTCTCAGACATTCCAGGTGTACCTCATATCCAAAGGAAAAACTAGGGAAAGCAGCCTGTGGCTAAGCACCACTACAGCACCAGTCCCAACCACTGTGTACCTCCAACTAGGCCCACCTCAGCCGCTGCCTCCACCACACACCCACCCCCATTTCCAAAGGAAATGCTTGCCAAAGCAGCCTGTGGGTCACCTGTGCCCCAGTACCAGTCCTAACCCCTGGGTTCTTCCACCTAGACCCAGCTCAGCCTCCGTAACTTCCCCACCCATGACCAAAGAAAATCTTGACAAGGCAGCCTGTGGTTCACCTGATGCCAGTAGCAGTCCTACCCTCTGTGTTTCTATAGCTAGGCCCAGCTGAACCTCCACCTGACACCCACACATGGACAAAGGAAATGCTTGGGAAGCAGACCTACGGATCACAAGTACCCCATTACCAGTCCCGACTCCTGTCCCCCTGCAAAAAGGCCGATCTCAGACTCTCCTCCACTCTATACATACATACACACACCCCATGGCCAAAGGAAAACATTGGGAAACCAGCCTGTGTGTCACCCCCACCTTTTACCAGTCCCAACCCTGTGTTCCTCTAACTAGACCCACGTCAACCTCCGACTCCAACACACACCAACCCAAAGGAAAAGATCATGTAACCAGAATGTGGGTCACACGCACCCCAGGCTCAGCCCCCCGCCCCCTGTCTCCCTCCAACTAGGCCCACCTCAGACACTCCTCCATTCCACACCTACCCTAGCCCACGACCAAACGAATACCTTGGGAAAGCAACCTGGGGATCAACCGCACCCCATAGCAACCCCTGGGTTCCTCCAACTAGGCCCACCTCAGACACTCCTCCATTCCACACCTACC